ACAAAATTCTTAAACTAGCGTTCTTATTAATTTTATATGAACTTACTCTTAAAATTGGCAAGCATGAGTAAATTCATCAAACAAGGGGCAAGACTTACATAAAAAAATGACCAGATTTATATAGAAAACTAAATCAAGAATTTACAAATATAAATTTTCACACTGTCAATAACAAAAGTTACACTTCATAAGAATGTTTATCTTTAAGTGGCCACACGAAGATAAACCTTTTTGTGAAAAATTCTACATAGAGTTAAACCTGCTGTTCCTTCTTGCAGTAACAGTTTTTTAATCGAAATGTTCATATCAGAGTTTAGCATTTATTTTCTCATACTTTTTGTAAAAAAAACTTTATATTAAATGATTATATTACAAAATAATATCACATCTTACATATAAAGGCAGAAATGTTAATATTAATGCATGGAAAGAAATTTTCACATGCTTCAAAGTATGCTAAAAAAGTAATAAATGCTTTTAGTTAAACATACAGCGTAAACTTATTGCTGCCATTTTTATTGTTGACAACGAAAAAAAAGTAGCGCGAAAGAAAGTAAATGGAAATCAAAACAGCGTTTCCGTCATAGCGAAAAAACTCGCTTCGCGCGAACATTTCGTCTTGTGGAAAACGGCCTTTATCTAGAATTGTAAACTGTAAATTTCGCGATTAGTCTTTAATAACTCCTTTACGATGATTGGTAACTTCGTTGCGCTCTTTACGTGGTGATTCCTTTGTGGCATTTATGAATATAAATGAGCCGCTTATTTTAGAGTGACATAAGTCACCTTTTCAAAAAAATAAAATCAAGTTATTGATAACGATAATTGTAATGGAACGGTCTTTTTTTTTGTAAAACGATTTAAACCATTTGTGTTGAAAATTATAGAGATATTTTTAAAAAAAGTTTTAATAGTTAACGGTAAAAAACGGTAAGGTGTATTATACCTTTATACCGTTAACTAGAAATTTTTTTTCCAAAATGTCTCAATAGTTTTCAACTCAAATGGTATCAATCATTTTACAAAAGAAAAGACCGTTCCATTTTAATTATCTTTATCAATAACTTGATTATACTTATATATATCAAATATGAGACGTTTATTTTGAATGTGACTCAAGTCACTTTGTGTTTTAACATATTATGTAAAGGTGGTTCACCTATAAAAAAATTTTTTGATAAAAATAAGCTCTACCAAAACTTTTTTAAATGACAAAATAAATATTTCAAATTAAAAAAAAAAGTTGACAGTAATTTGCCTCGATTATCCATACTTTTTTGTACACTTTAGAGTAAAAAAATAAAAATTTCATCACAAGATAACTAAAAATGTTTACATCAGATAGTGCCAAAAGTTTACATACTAGTTCTAAACTACCTTTTCTCTAATTTGTGCCATGGTTTTTAAAAACACATGCTCCTGTGTGATAATATTATGTGTTTTTTTAAAGATTGCACAAATATATCAACATTATTGCGTGTTACGTTGCATAAAAGTAGTATTTCCCACAATCAGTATTATAAATCCATGACATAAATGATTCTCTTAACTATAATGAACAACCTGTAAAAATTTTAAGTCAAAAGCAGGTGTTTAACTAAAATTACAATGTTTTGAACTTTTAAAAAACTGTAAAAACTAAAAAACAAGTAAATCAAGTTTTAAAATTATTTTTGTAGTTTTAGACAATTATAAGTTGAACAAACGCATCAAAAAATCCCAGCTTCATATCCCAGTTGTTTCTTTCGGTTTTTAATATCAATATACCCTTTTTTTATTGTCCTTAAAGTATTCCTACGCTCTTTAACAGGTTGACGAAATTTGTGTTCCACGCGTATTATTCGAAGAATAGCGGCAAAACCATTGCATCCAAATGATGCTAAAACTTCTCTAATACCATTTCCTCCAACATTAAAATATAAGACTGCAGAGTATACTGCCATTTCAAAAACCTCTCTGGTAACAAAAACTGATTTCGGACACTTTTGCCACAGTAATGAATTAAGACATTCATTAGCATTTTGAGTTTCCTCATGGAGGCATTTTAATAACAAGGTATCAGCAGATAAATCAAAGAATATAGGCTTAATTATATCATGAATCCACTTTGGTATTGATATTTTGTTTTTATAGAAAGAAGTTCCTTTGATTTTATCATATTGCCATTTTTTTGTAAGTAATTAAATTAACTGTTTGTCATAATAAACATATTCATGCATTTTGCAAATTTCTCCATTCCACTGAAACCTTTTCCTATCTTAAGAAAAGCAACAGCAGCACGTAGGTTTGCTTCAAACACAGTTTTTTTTTAGACTTATCTGTAGTTGAACACTTCACTTATGTGTATGAAGGCTTATTCCAATCGCAATAAGTACAACTAATTTTGAATAAATGACAAAAACCCTTTCGAGATGTTAGGTTTTATGTTAACGTTATTGTACTGTTACACTCAGGGCATTATAGAAATGATACTAGATTCTTTAAATTCCAAAAGTTTACAACACATAAATAGTTTTCATTGTTATAGATGGGATTAGTCCATATGTAACGAACAAATGTCATAGCACCATTTGCAAACTATTAATACTAATGTTCAAAAAATCTCAAAAAGAAGAATAGGTAGCAGAGTTATGGAAATTGTCAAATGTCACTCCTTTGTTTAAAAAAGGAGAAAAAAGTGATGCATCAAATTATAGACCGATTTCACTAACATCAATACCATGTAAAGTGTTGCAATCAATCATTAAAGACAAAATGATGAGCTATTTATTGACGAATGGTTTACTATATGAAAATCAACACGGATTAGAAAAAATAAAAGTTGCTTAACTAACTTATTGGAAACCTTAGATATCCTTGCAGATGCTTTAGAAAATAATTGTTCTATAAATATGCTTTATCTGGATTTTGCTAAAGCATTTGATAAAGTACCACATTCACATTTAGTCCATAAGTTAAAGTCATATGGGATTATAGGCAACTATTTAAAATGGATAGAAGAGTTCTTAAGCAATATGAAACAGAGAGTTGTTCTTGGGGACCGAGTATCAAATTGGTTACCAGTTATCAGCGGTGAACCACAAGGATCAGTTCTGGGATCGTTACTATTTCTGTTATTCATAAATGATCTACCGGATCATGTGAATAACAACATGAAACTTTACGCTGATGGTAGTAAAATTATTAACATAATAAGCAATTTATGTGCTGCTAAGAAACTTCA